ATTCAATCATTCACGTGAGTAAGTGTTGTTCCTTCAACATTTATTTTTCTGTTTATCAGATGTTCCCTTTTTTTATTTTACTTTTGTTTGTTGAGTTTTAAAAAGTTACAACAAACTTAATGTACTCCAGTGTTTCAGTGTTTTCCTTCAAATGTAAAACTGCAGGATTTTAGGCCAGACAATTGCATTAGAATGTTAATTAAACCATTGTTTATCTCCCCTTTGTAATGTGAACGAAGTTGGCACCTCTTTGTTTAGTGCCAGAAGGATCCTTTTGTTTAACTTCTTCATAGACTCCTAAGATTGGGTGTTGACCATTTTGGAGACAACCCCTGTTGGTAGGGCAAGGAATGTGTATTCCTGTAGATCAAAAGGGGTTCTTCGTCTGGGGTCAGCGCTCTTTTGTTCGACCAAAAGCAACGTAGAACAGTAAGGTACACCCTTCCTAATTGGGTGACGAAGAAGTAACCAAACGACCAATGGCTATGTTCCTGAGCCATTTGGAGGAAAAAGGAGCCGACCACATACCTGGAGGATATTAACAACCTATTTTGATAGAATCGGGACTGTAAGCTGTGAATCTGTGAGGAAAAGCAACTTTCCGGTCCTCTGCTGGGGGCGGCAGTAAAGTATTTGTTCATTTCCCCTTTTATCCACAAATAACTTTCTAATCCTTCCAATCAATATTCTACTTAAAAGATACAAGTTAATTTCTGTTTGTGTAAGGATGTTGTGTTTTAATTTAATTTTGATATTTATGGCATAAAATTGGTTTTATAATCACCCCTGACTATTATTAAACAAAGATTTGTTGATGAATTTACTTTTAGGGCCAGCAGTATTTTTCAATATGGATGTGTCTTTCTCAGAGCTGGTCTCTGGTTCACTTTCAGCACATTCCTTTCCCACAACCAGTCCACTGAGAAATAACCCAAAACAATGATGCAGACAGAAAAGAAAACCACAAACTTGGCAAAACAGCTTGACAAGGTCGCAGTATGAATCAGAAAGCGGTTTTGTTGTTACCACTATGTGAGGTGTTGTAACGTGTTGTAGATAGGAGTCAAATTACAGAGAGGCTGGTCTGCCAGGAACACACTGTGGCACCTGGCCAACAACTTTCAGTTATTCGGGGCGGAGGCAGGGACTAGTGAGAATAACACACTTAAAGTCTTTATCATTTTATATAAATTCACACTTGATTCTTTTAACATCTTTTATTGGGAAAAAAAGCAATGTAATGTTGTACATTTAAAGATTACTATCAAAATAAAAGAAAACTGTGATAAATGTCCGAGATTGGGAAGTTTCTTGTGGGGTCATGTTACAACCAGGTTTTTATGTCCAGACCAGGTGAATTCAACATAATACATTATTTAAGAGCAGAAAGTGTCCTTCAGTTTTATCAGCTTAGGACACAAAAAGACATCCTCTTAACTAACCAGATTTAGTGAAGAGCTCATGATGGTCTGAACAATGCAGAGATGTTATGGCTGGACAGCACAGATGTCAAAGAAAACTGTTTTTGAAACTTCAACTTCACTGCATTCCCCAGAAGCTACTTATGAGCTAAATACGCGTGTATCAGAACAGAGAAGGGGGGATGCCGCTGCCAAACAACAGATTCCAAGAAGTTGGGATCTTCCATTTGTTGGGGTCTTTACTCTGAAAAGGGAATCAGACAAAACTATGATTAGACATGCATGATCTAAAGTCACACATTGTACTGTAGTATAGAGTGATTTGTACTAAATCAAACTAAGCATGTTGTTCACTATGACGAATAAGCAAGTTTCATGTCTCTGCATGTTTATTTTCTTACAGTACTGAAAAGTACTGGGAGGCAAATGGCTCTGTAACCTAACTGCAGTAATAAGGCCGACTGATCCAGTTTGTCACTTACAGGATTGTCCAGGAGATGGAGCCAGGCGTTGAGGTGGTTGACGAGAGTGAAGGCGTCCGGGATGTTGTCGCCCTCTGAACAGAAGAGCAGCAGCACCGCCAGGGGGAGATCCTCTGCACAACTGAACAGAGCATCCAGCACACATGGTCAGATACAAAAAGTTTTATCAGTGTGCTGAATCAAAAAATATATATTGTATGAGGTAAAAGTGTGTTCTGTTGTTATCATACTATATACTATAAGATAACAGCTTATTCTGCAGGTTTTCAGAATCGGGTTTATTGCCAGGTATGAATTGGTGCTTACAGTCCACAAGTAAAGAGATCAAAAAAAGTATAAAAAAATATAAAAAGATACAATAATACTATAATACAATGCTGACAAGTATGTGCAAAAGTTGGCAACATGAGCATAAAGCACAGTTGAGCGTTGTTGTAAAGTGTGGGGTCAGGAGAGTGTATGAGTGTGTGTGAGTTTGGGGAGGGGGGCATGAGAGTCACTAACAGTGGGGACCCGGGCCTTGTTGAGGAAGACCACTGCCATCAAATGTGTTTTCAGCCACGTTTATGTGGACAGTTCACAGTGCATACACACAACACTGTGTAACATGACATAAAAGGTAGAAATAAACAATCTAAATTAGCATGCTTGTATTGTTCTAATTGTTCAAGGACAATTCAATCACCAAAGAACATTTTTTTCCGCATAATTATGACTTAGCGTCAAGTTCAGGTTCCTTAATTTGTACACGTATGTAAATTTGTCTTTGCAGTGGACAAGTCATCCTCACAATTATGGTAAAAACATTGTTCAACTCTAACGCGTACAACCACACACACACACACACACAGCTGGTGCACTATTATGGCTGCATTTAATGTGTGAATTTTCTAGAATGCTACATAACCAGCTCAAGGTGCACAATTTGTTGTTGTAATTTGTTAATGAAGCAGAAGCATGACTCATGTCACATAGACAGTTCCAACTCTAAATATATGTATATAACAATTTATAAAAAATATATAAAAATAAAATAAATAATCCAGTTCAAAGTTGTCCCTGTGCTCTTTCAGATCAATCTGGACTTGAGGTCTCTATGAAGCAGCCAGCAAGCTGAAGCTGCTCTCTCTGTACCTGTCTGTGTAGAGTCCTTTGGTTATGCCTCCTCCAGGGATGTAGAGGCGCGGCTCTGTGTTGGCATCTGTTAGTCCCGGGAAGGCCGCCACTCGCTCCAGCTCCCTCCAGCCTAGCTCTTTCCACACGTCCACACTCGCCTTCAGCAGGCACGGTGTGACCAGGTACCTCAAAGGAGTGCTAACACGGATACACATGTTTGTTAGTAGAGATAGCTGCGAACAGCAAAGGCAAAGAAATGCAGTGATGATGTGAAGTGCATGGTCGAGTACCCTTGCAGCTGTTGGTCGTCCCTCTGGTAGGCGTGGCTGCTGGACAGAACTACGGTCCTGGAGAACCCGCTGGCTTTGATCCAAGAGACGAGCAGCTGACGGAACTTTTTGGATTTTGTCTGCAATTAAAACAAAAGTTACAGCCATAAATACAACAATACCAATTAAATTCCAGGTAATTTTAGAGATAAAGATGGAGTTAATGCTCTCTTAAAACATACCTGTGCTAAAAAACAATTAAATGTATGTACTCATGCTGATGTGTGTTTACCTGAATAATTGGTGCTCTGATTTGAAGAACTGCTAACTTCAGTTCTGCTGCTGTGTAAACTGTTGATGGGAAAAGGTTGACAGATTAATTGAGGATTAGATTTTTTAATGAGTTTGACTTCTTTTCACTTCACAGCGGCTACAAATTGATGACCTGTCTCACAATTTATTCACAGAGTGCCAGCACCCATTGAGAACATCTTTCAGGCTTTATTTTAGTCCTCAACAACAAATGACCTGGAAAAAATGTAGACCCCTCGCTGGGCAACACAACAAGACCGCTGGACCCAAAGCAACTGACAGGAGACGTGGTCTGTTTTTCAAATATTACAACTAATTAATTTTTCAGTACAGATCAGTGTTTTCTTTCTCTCTACGTGTGCAGGTTAATAACAGACCATATGTTCAGAGAAAAAAAAAAAAGTTAGTAGTCAGTTTACAAAGTCAAACAGGCCCTCTGTGATGGTCTAATAAAGAACATACTTTTGCATATTAATTTGCATATTATCTCTTCTGCAGCAGCCAAATGATCAAGAGCCAAAGAGGTCATGAAATCGTCAGCCATGATCAGACGGTACCTTCTGCAGGGGTGTGCAGCTCCTCAGCGTCTTCTTTGCAGGTGGCGTACGGGTTGTTCCCAGCCATGGGGATGAGACAGTCTGTGTGTATATAGCCCACTCTGTTCATGTTGAGGGTGGACACCATGAGGTCCACAGCCAGCTGGCCCACATTACCAACAGCTACTGCTGGCTAAGGCGGGAGAATAAACAACAATAAAGGTAGCAACTATTTTGATAAATTAATTGTTTAATTGTCTTTTTTTAATGCAAAAATACAGTTGCATTTCATGATTCCAGACTCTCACATGAGACCATTTGTTGCTTTTCCTTGTCTTAAATTACAGCAAAGTGAATCGCTTTTACGTCTGGTCAGAGAGAACAAGTCATTTGAAGACGTCACTTCAGGCTTTGGGTAATGGAAATTTATTGGAAACTTACTGACATTATACAAACCAAACAATCGATTAACAGGTGGAAAATAATCATCTGATTCATCCATAATGAATAATAACAATATAATGATAGGTGCCATTTTTCTGCATTCAGTACTTCTACTTTTGATGCACGCATACTTTTACTTTCACATTGCAGGACTTTTGAGTATTTACAGGGTGGTATTGGTATTTTACTTAAAGTAAATTGTCTGAATACCTCATAAACCTGCAAATCTGTGATTATGGGCCATATACTGTAAATAAAACTGACATGTCTTGCTTGCACTTGACTCTGTTCCAAAGACTGCACCATCTTTCCGGACTCAAGGACTCTGTATTTGTGTAATAATGGTGTGGGGAATTACGTTACGTCCTCTTTAACACAACGTGTCAAAATCATACACATGTCAAAATATATCCCACCTTCATCAAATAACCTAGGTTTATCAAACTGCTAACCTTACTTCACGTGACATTTGTCCCGTAAGATCGTTAATCTAAAATCAAACTGAAGCACTGATTAATTCACAATAACACACATTCTACAAGGCTGCCACGACTTTCACAGCGGAGTAAGTTAAATTTGGTGATGAAGTGAAACCACAAACTGTGTCACTCACCATGACGAGAGTGAAATCTTTGAAGGAGGGCGGCGAGTTTTGTGAAGAAATAAACATGGTGCTGTTTAGCTAGCACAGCACACAGAGCCAAACAGGTACTGAGGAAGAGATTTAAATGTTATTATGTAATAAATATTATAACAAACTATATTATTCCGGCAGTTTTCACTTCTATTTGCGTGCCAGGTGTTGTGGACCTTTGGGGTCTCACTCGGCGTCGATTGTTGATGATTGAGCGGCTTTAGTACCTGCTGTGAATGCCTGAATTAAAGTATCGGGGATGCTTTATTTTGGGGAAAATATTTAGTAGATGTCTGTACTGACTCATAATCTGTGTTTATCGGTGTATGTATCGATATATAGACTATGTATTTTAAACAGCGCTTCAGGAGTTTCTATTGTAATCAGGCATAATAATGGTCAATCTGCTGCTCTGCAAAGATTTCCTGGACATTAGAGATCTGCAACTGAAACACAGCACTGTCATTTAAAATACTAGTGATACCAAAGAACTTACATTGACTACCTCTACTACTACTACTACTACTAATAATAATAATATACAGATTAAATTATTTTATAGCATATTTATATGCTTCATATTTAGCCATAACAATATGTACAATAAAAACAAATAGCCAGCTAACTTAGCTTATACTGTTTCATAGTATAATCAAAAATAGGAGTAAAAAAGAAATGATCAATTATGTAAATACACATGCCATAATAATAGAAACACATTTATTGCCTATGCAAATGATGAACAAATGGTCATGAAACAATGGTGAAACATATTCCTATTTTGCATAAAATGTGTTTCCAGTGTAATTTGAATTTAACAGTTCAGATCACCTTGCAGTGGAAATACACAGAAATTAAAATCACTACGACTGATTAACATAACCTTAGTCTAGTCTATTTGTCTGACCAGTGTTACATTTGTAATTTTTCTTGGAGGAAGTTAAAGATTAACACGGGAAACTAACATGAAATCAGCAGTGAGGGCTATCTTCACCCAACAGCATACAGAGGACGTGCAGGGAGGACCGGTTTATTATTCACAAAAAGTAAATAATTCAAAAACAAGAATTTCAATTCTCTAGTCTGAACTCTCTAACCTTTAGGCTCCAACTGCCCACAGATGTATTGTGAGTTGATAATAATAGTGAGGACTTGACAGGACAGCGATATTGTTGGGCAGAAAATCCATTAAAGATTGTGTTGTACTGTTGTGTGTTCGAGTCAAAGGATCATGGAAGGAATGAAGGTCAAGTGTGTAAATTTGAGGTAGCTTTATTATGATTTTTAGGTGGTGCAGCATGTACATAAACATTGTAATGTAAAAAAAAAAATACAGTCAATCAAAACAAAGTTGTAAGGCTACACTAGTAATGTAATCAGTCATGTAATTTCATATCCAACATTTGCTAACTAATACATTAAAGATCTTAATCCAACAAATGTCCCTGTTTATCACAGTGATTATGGCAGATTGTTAGACAGAACACTGCACAACCAAAACTAATTTAAAGAAAAGATAAAAGTTATTCATCTTGCCATAAAAAAACACTTCTCACACCAGACAGATGTGGTACCATCAGTGAAGTCAGTTTGGTTTGACTTCATTGGGAATAGATTGGCCTTTCACTGCAGCCAAAGCATTTTCTACCATCCTCTGTACCATCCGCCTTGTTGTGGCGTAAGTGTTGGTGCCAACGTGGGGCGTGATCAGCACATTAGGAAGGCCAAGGAGAGGATGATCCCTGCACAAGAAGAAGAAGAGTAGTTGATAGGAGCCAGAAGGATTAAGAGTTAGTAAATGTTATATTCTTCTTCTTTTCACTATTATTTCATCAGTGGTTTTTGGCTTTTAAGATCTTAAAATAAAACACTGCCTCCTTGCACCCTTTACATGTAAGTACAGACTGGTAAACTGATTATTTAACCTTTTCAGATTGTTGTGTTTAACTGAATATCAAAGATGGTCAAGAAGATGAAAAAAGTCCAGGGCTTTACAAGAAAACACTAATGTTTAGGTTTCATAAAGATATTTTTTGGGACACTTGGGGCTTGTGTTCAAACAGACATTCAGCAAAAGTATTTTAATTTAAAGTTGTATTTCTGGCCACTTGTCCCATATTTACTTCTCTTTTATCTTTGTTTTGGTCTCCACCAACTTCTGAAGGAATAAATTTGGCCATTTAGCTTTAAATGCTCCACTATGTTTACTAGCTGGTACCTACCGGTCTGTCTGCCGTTTGATGCTGGACAGGTAGCCTACAGTGGGCTTTCAGAGCTTTATCTCTGAGAACTGCCTGCCTGCTTCCCCAGGGAGGAAAACCAAAACAATGAGCTAAGGGCCCGTGTCCACCAAAGCGTTTTTCAGCAGCTGAAAACGCCAGCTGCTCTTCTGAAATGTTTTTTGAGGTGCAGCTTTTTTTTCCGACTGCTTTGGTTGCTATGATACATAAAATCCATGGCAGTGATGTTGCAACTAGTTTTATCCAACTCTACTTTGATGTAAAAATGTCAACACGGAGAAGAGTACTTGCTCGGGACGAAAAAGCAGGTAAAGAGAGAGGACGGACTCGCCGTATGTGGGTTGAGATTGAGATTTTGTGGGCGAGGAAACATCTCAGCGAGTACCACCGTTTGGTCCGAGAGCTGAGGTTGGACGGAGCCTGGTTCAAAGAGTATTTTAGAATGAGCAGGACACAGTTTGATATTTTGTGTGGAAGAATTGGACCTACCATAGCAAGGAGAGACACAAGCTACCGAGAGGCCATTAGCTTGTAGGAACGTCTCTCCATTTGTCTGAGGTAAAGGTATAGGCTACTGCAGTGAAAGAAGTTAACTTAAGTAGGCTACTTAACTTAATGTTATATATCAAATTGTGATTCAGTGATATAAAAAGAATTTACACATCTAAACCAAGTATTTAACAATTAAAACAATCAGAATTTTTATAATTAAATTTATAATCAATGATTATTGACCCACTGTAGCATTTTCTGTATTTATTCTTAATACTAGGCCTAATTAGTAATATATGTCTATGAAGATTCTCAGTCATCCAGGTCATAGTTATCCAACGAAGGTTAAAATCAAGGGCAACTGGACTTGGTTGAAGATACTGGAAGACGTTTCGTCCCTCATCCAAAGGACTTCTTCAGTTCTGACTGACTGGCAGGGAAACTCAGCTATTTAACCTCAGTGGGGTCGTTATCTCGGGTCATCGATACCGCTGGTTCGTTAGTGTTCCTTGTTGCTGTGACGACAGTCGTTACAGTCGTTAAGACTACCGGTGGCCAAGACTGAACGACCATCGTTGGTATCTTCACCTGAGGCCAATAGGTTACGTTTGTTGAGTTTCCTGGGAAGTGATGAAAGGACAGCATTGTAAGTGGGGGATAAGTGGTGGCGTAGACCCCCTCCCTGTTCAATGACGGCTTCTCAACCCTGGTGTAGATGGCTTCCTTGACACCTCTTTCAAACCATCCATCTTCTCTGTCTAAAATGTGCACCTGGTGGTCCTCAAACGAGTGTCCTCTGTCCTTCAAATGTAAGTAGACTGCAGAGTCTTGACCTGAGGAGTTGGCCCTTCTGTGTTGAGCCATGCGTTTGTGTAGTGGTTGTTTAGTCTCCCCAATATACAGGTCTGTGCATTCCTCACTGCATTGGACCGCATACACTAGATTGCTTTTCTTGTGTTTGGGTGTGCGGTCTTTGGGGTGTACCAGCATCTGTCTTAGTGTGTTCTTGGATTTAAAAAACACAGGGATGTTGTGTTTGTTGAAAATTTTAACCTTCGTTGGATAATTAGTAATATAATAATAATTTATTAATAATTATATATATGCATATATTATAATATTAATCATTACTAATTTATGTATTATTATTTATTTCAGGTATCTGTCAGGAGATTCAACAGGAGATTCATTCAGATCGATAGCTTTTAGTTACAGGGTGGGTTACTGTACAGTGGCAAGAATAGTGAAAGATGTGTGTGAGGCAATGTGGTCTGTCATGGTCCAGGAGTACATGCCCTTCCCTGAACACCACCACCGGAAGAGGATCGTGGGAGACTTCAATAGGCTATGGAACTTGCCCATCTGCCTGGGAGCAATCGATGGAAAGCATGTTGCAATACAGGCCCCATCTTCAACAGGATCCATGTATTACAAATACAAAGGAAACTTCTCCATCGTGCTCCTAGCAGTGGTTGATGCGCGCTACCTTTTCCGGATGGTGGATGGTGGGGCTTACGGGAAAAGCAGCGATGGTGGGACTCTCTCTGCCTCTGAGTTTGGCAAAGCCCTCAACCAGGGGATGCACCGTTACCATGTGCAGAAAACCTCCAGCAAGTGCCACATGTATTTGTGGGTGATGAGGCTTTTCCTTTGAAAAAGCTCCTTTTCCGACCCTACCCAGGAAAACACCTTGACAGGGAGAAGTGTGTGTTCAACTACTGTCTCTCACATGCCAGGAGGATGGTGGAGTGCACATTTGGGATCCTTGCTGCCCAGTGGAGACTCTACCACAGAGTGCTTGGTGTCTCACCAAAGGTGGCAGATGCAGTGGTGAAGGCTACTTGTATCCTCCACAATTTCCTACGCTGGGAGGAGGCTGATGATGACTTGGAAAGAAGGCATGCCCCCCTGCCATCAGAGCCACAGGATCCCATTCAGCGCGTAGGCAGCAACAATGCCTCTAGGGAAGCACTGGAAGTTAGACAGAGGTTCACCACTTACTTATCCTCTCCAGCAAGCGAAGTTGCATGGCAGCATTCTGTTGTCTAATGCCTCCAACACCACCTTCAGGACTAGCATCAAGACCACCACCATCAATACTACCAAAAAGGCTCTTAAGAGCCACCCATAACCTTAGAAAAATTAGTGGATTTAGTGGAAAAGTGTTTTTTCAATCACACAATGCAACACAATTAATCGAATAAACAAATAAATATATTGATAATAAATAATACCAAATCAATTATTTTAAATCATTATTTATTTAAGTCGTCTGTAAAAGGTATGCGAGTGTTTTATTGATGGCCAAATTCTGCTTCATGTAATATTTGTTGAAATTTTACTTTAACCTCTGATTGGCTGCGGGGAGGAAGGCGTCTCAAAGCCCCAGCTAAACTTGAAAGAAAATGCTCCTCATCATCGGGCTCATTTTCCAGGGCATTCAGGACACAGCGCTGATACTCAGACACAACTGGCTCAGCACTTCTCTTTGGAGTATAACGTGCAGGTCTTCTGGGTGTGCAGAGTGGCAGATCATCAGGGGAGTCAGGAGATCTGGGCTGTGCGGTATTGGCCTGGGTTTGGGTCTGGGACAGGGACAGGGACAGGGGCTCTGATGTAAGTGTACTGTCATCTGTTGTCTGTGGGGATCAAATCAGAAAATTTTAATAACAAGCATGCTGAAAGTATACTATTACTATAACCAATAATAATAATAGTGGTAACAATAATAACAATGCCTTCCTTTGACAGAAATAAAATGTGAACACAGACTTAAAAGCAACACTTTCATATTGATATGTGGTATCTGTGGTATGCTAAATTACCTCCACTGGTATTACTAGGGACTCGAGAAGAGCCTCTACATTTTCATCCTCATCACATGGCCTAGTCTGCCTGACATTGCTAGTGGTGTCCCTTTCTTGGATGAATGGCTGCAGAAAATTGAGGATGGACATGTATTTCCATCTCCGACCCCCTGCTGCCCCCTTAACCTGACCTCTTGCTCTCTTTTTCCTCTTTTTTCTCTCTCCTATAAGTGTCCCTCAGGTATTTACACTTTTTATGACATGTTTCCACTGAAATTTGTAAAGATTAAGAATAAAATATTGTGAACTTCTATGGTGCAAGCAAACATTAAAAAATATAATTCAGAAGGCAGCACTAGCTCTGCACTGCAGTGAGAAACACTATATATAACATCTCAATAACATCTAGATTATTCCCAGAGAATATTGAAAGTTTATCTCATATAATGTTTTTCTAAAAACCACCATTGTGGGCCAGAGGGTAGCCTACTGTAATCAGGTTGGTTAGTCTGTCTCTGTGTGTGTGTGTCCACTCATACGTTTAAAAGTAACATTACTGGTCCGATTTACTTTAAGAATCTGTGCTGAGTGTTTTCGAAGCTATGCAATTTACATGAGAAAAAGTAAACTAACCTAAAAAAAATAGTCTGAAGTGATTTGAGAAGCGTCAAACAGTTAACGTTACAATGTAACCATCAGCATGCTAGCAAATCAACAGTGATTATTATCATTACGTGCTTTAAACCTAATGTACTGCTGCTTACCTGGTAGACCCACGGCGAACGAAATGTTCCTCCACGCATCGCTCTTCATGTTAACATTGTGATAGTCAGCGGATGTCATCTCATAGAGACAAGGATACTCCGAGACCAGCAATATCAACTTCTCCTCCATTGTTGATGAGCAGTCAATGAGCAGGATAGTAACCGTTGCTACGGTGTGGCATTTGTCTCGCCCCTCCTGCACTGTGATTGGACGTCTGGGTGAAAAGTGACAGTGACGAGCGCAGCGTTTTTCCCCAAAGTTTAACATTTTTCAACTTTCGGCGACCTGAAAAAATCGCTCAGGGCCCGGCGCGGAAAAAACACTCAGCACCTCGTCACGCTCCTGCCGTTTTTACCAGCTTGGAAAAACGCGCCGCTCCCATTGGAATGAATTGACAAAAGACGCTGGCGTCAGAAAAAACGCTTTGGTGGACACGGGGCCTAAAAGACCCTAAAAACCTCTGTAGAACTGTATACAGCTGCAGGATGATTATTCTGTGTAGGTTCATAACTCTGAGTAACATCTTTCACATTACATATTTGATCACTGTTGATCCAAAAATATTGACTAGTGCAACTTTAAAGAAAATATGTAATAATTTAAATGTGCAGTAGAAACGTACATAAACAGAGTCTGGACCTCAAGATGGAAAATTTGTAAATCATTGTAAATGTATGAATAATACTGACTTTGTGCTATGTCTAGCATAATTGTACAGTCCTTTTAAACTGTATTCAGGGGCTGAGTAACTGTGTTACTCAGTAATCTATTGATGTGACAAGGTTATTTCAGTTAAAGCAAGACTTTATAACTTTTGTGGGAAAGTGGTGTAGCAGTAGAACAAGTCAGTCAATCAACTCAGTACAAAGAACTTTTTATCTAAAGTAATACTATTGCAGCAAAACTCCTTACATGTATGGAACTTAGCAAGAGTGTGTTTAATTGTTTTTGAGTCAAACTTTTCTATTCAAAGAGGAAGAATGGAGTCTTTCTGCTTTCAAAGGTTACATAAGTCTCACTAATGAAAAATAATTGTGACTCTGGCTGAAGAGTGTGGGTGCTTTCAGACCTTGGTAATGGTTCTGGGTGAGTCACATCTAAAGCTGCTGCGCGAATTGTTCCAGACTTCAGAGCTTCAACTAAAGCATCCTGGTCCACAACCAGACCTGAGAAGAAATTAGACTAAAGATCAGTGTTTCAGAATAACTTAACAGAAACTTTTGCAATTCTTTAACCCAAATTTGTGACGTCTAGGCAACATGTTGTCCACCTCACCTCTGCTGATGTTGACCAGTGTTGCTGTGGGTTTCATGAGTGCCAGCTCTCTGTGGCTGATCAGGCCCTTGGTTTCAGGGCTCAGATTGACCGCCAGCATGACAAAGTCTGAGTCCCTCAGCAGGTCATCCATGTTCTCGCAGAACCTCGCCCCAACTGCTTGCTCATCTTCAACACTCCTGAAGGGCAGAGAGAAAAGATGAAGGTGATTGTTAACATTGTCTCGTTGATTCTTTGCTTTAAAATGTTCAATTTCTTTGGATATCTGGTTACAGTAGTGATATTTCTATACATATATCTACAGGTTACCAGTTTTTTTTCGGAAGGATTTTTCTTCCATAAGTTACCTAGAAACACTGGTCCTTTACATGCAGTGAATTGCAGTGGATTACACCTTTCTCTTTATTTTTTTTATATTTTTAAGGGAATCAAGGTAAATATTCGCCAGAAAACTTTTACCTCCTGGTCCTGTTGTGATACAGGATCTTCATGTCAAATCCTTTGCCTCTTTGAGCAATTCTGCAGCCAATGTGGCCCATTCCAATAATCCCCAGAGTTGACCCTGTGACTTCAATTCCCATCAGGCTTTCTGGTATATGGGTGGTCTTTGGGTCCACAGCTATTTGGTGACCTGTGGCAAAACAGGACCAAAAGAAAATCCTTCAACCATGTTTTTATCAAAGCCTGTACTGCTGTTGCTACATTATTCATTATTCTCAGTTGTGTACTGGATATGAAGGGTGTTTTCAGCATTTAATAATTAATTCATGAATTGATTTCCATATTTATCTTCTGTCATCACATTTACTGCTTTGTCTTTTAGTCGTCTTTCAATTAAAAAATAGATTAAAACAAAACAGGAGACAAAATGAAGAATCATTAGTTAATGGACTTAAAAGTGAACAGGCTTAAATCATTTTACAAATTAAGAAATCTGTTATTTATAAACAGAGGATTGGAATAAAATATCATTGACAGTTTTTAACCAATACTGTTTTGAATGACATTATTTACAACAGCCACTGTGGCCAGTTACGGCATGGAATGGTTCATGGCTACTAAACAACTAAATGCAAGTAGATTAGTCAGTTAAGCTGACTCAGTAATATCTGGTTCACAGCAATATGCACCTTAAGTTTGCTGACATACGCTAATATACGCTAACATAAGCACAACTGGTCATACTAGACCAAGTAAAGATTTAAAGGAAAAGTCTCGAGTTTATTAAATTGAGCAAGAGGCTATTTTTATTGTTTATGAATTCTCGCTTTAACTGCAGATTGTTTTATAAAATACTTGAGACAGTACTACTCCTGTTTTCATTTATTTAAGACCATTTTATATCTTAACCATTGATTTTTATACCATTATATACAAAAACTGGGGTTTCTTTTCTTATACTGACCCTCAGTCAATCTAAAGGTTTTTCTTGACGTTTGCCAAATTGAAGAGTTTTCCTTAAAGTCTGAATGATTCCTGTTTGGCAACCAACAATTCATGAGCACTTTGTGTTTCTCTTTTTGTTAGAATTGCTCTCAAAGCTGCTTAAGTGGAAAAAGATGTAAGTCTCTGTTTTGTCATTGTAAAGATTCAGTTAACCTTTGACCTCAAGAGTCTTAGGATGCATTTTGTCATATAGATCAATAAACCCTTTGAGGCAAATTTACGATTTATGATTTCGGGCTATCTAAATAAAATTGACCTGAGTTGACTCACCCTCAACGATCTTCCGTGCCGATGCCAGAAGCAGACCCATTGCCAAATCTGCAGTGGCATCACTCACCACACCAGGCGTGTTGGTCACCTTCACTCCGAGGCTGGTGATGTATGGCACATCCAGGTGGTCGATGCCCACTCCTCCGTTGGCGACCACCTTTAGCGAGGGAAGCGAACTGAGCAGTGAAGGCTCGGCTGAAGGGCAGGCGTTCCACACGAACATGGCCTGGATTTTAGGCCCGTGCAGCTGGGGGTTTTGAAGGAACTCTTTGTGGCAGATGATTTTGAAGTGCTGTTTCATTATGTCAGTGACTTCTTCAAGGTAACCTTGTTCACCCACCTCTGAGATCAGAGCCCATGGCTTGTTGTCCTCCATCACCTGGAGAAGTTAAAACACAGTGGGACAAACACTCACCCATCGTAGCTCATCTCATGTCCTGGAGATGGCGATGAAGGGATGGAGTATGGTTGAATTTAAAATGGCAACTTAAAAGTCAGCAACTGCCATGGTCCCCCCCAGACCGCCAGGGTGCTCAAAGGTTCCAGTTTGACCATGTGGCAATTAGTTTGTGATAAACATAAAATTTCATAAGAGCAATTTTTGAGGGGGGACACAAATAATGCAACCAAAATTGTACTTGTAGGCCTATAGGATACATGTACACAGAGGGAAGTCTTGCTATTATTTTTCTGTCCAACAACACAAAGCAATAGTTGTTTAATATGACTTAAGTTCATAGGTTCACCATGGGCCATATTATCCTAAATAACTTGCGTCCACATAGTAATTTAGTTATTCTTCTGGGATAGAGGATGTCTCTTACACACACACACACACACATTATATATATATATATATATATATATATAAAGGTCTGACCTGCCGTTTGTAATTTTTAAAAGAACGCGTTTGGTTTTTCACCCGCGATTCTGTTTCCACTGCAGCAGATGAGCCGCGTGTGGTGGAGGCTTGTTGTTATTTACCGATAGAGACCACCGCGGTATGAATGACATCGTCACCAACAGCTCTGTTCACTGTTGCTTTACCTGCTCCCTGCTTTAAAATATCCACAGCGTCTCTTTCTGTGTTTCTCTGCAGAAGTAAATAGATAGCGCTGCGTCTTCCTGTGTGTGTTTGTGTGTGGCTGTGACGTGCGGTTACTGTCTGTGCACACGTGACACGTGGCGCCGTGCAGCGTGTTTATAACGTTCAAGGTCACAGGCAAAAAATTGGATATTTGACACTACGTCACTGGTCGGGGCCGAGCAAGCGAAAACGGTCAATTCAGTCCCCAGGTGATCAATCTGCGCATCTCTAGCTGTAAAAGATGAGTTCCAGTAAGCTGTTAAACAAGCTACCAAATAAGCTAGGTAACCTTAATGTTATAATAACAGAGTGGGCTCATGGAAAAATAATCGGTTATCATAACTTTTTGTCATGATTAATTTATGAATGACTCAGTATTAAGTATTAAGCTAATCTGTTCATCCAATGTTTAAAGTGCATAAAACAGCCCTGCCAGCTTACTTAACATTACTGGAGCGCTTCTTCTTCTTCTTCTTCATATGGATTTACGGCAGTTTAGACGCTTCTTGGCGTATTACTGCCTTCCTCAAGAAGTCGCTATAATGAAAACATTATTGCTTCAAATTTTTATATATAGCCCTGTATCGTGTAAGAACTGTAATAATACTTTGACAATCAAGTGGTGGTTCTCATTTTGACCAGTGGCGACTCCTGCCAAATCTCTCATGGGGGGCAATTGTTGCATGATGGCTAAGGTGACCAGTTCAATGGTCTAAGTCTGCTATAAGACAAGGATTGTTCCTTAGGCTACATACTGTACAGTATTTGTGAACAGCTACATCCTGAAGTTCATTGTCAATGTCTACAATGAATGAACAGTCCACAGTTAAGATCAACAGATCTTTAGACCTTTGGATGTAAAGGCAACTACTTCAGCAATAATGAAAAAAAGAATGACTCTCACAATCATCTGATTTAGCTGTGACAAACCTTTTATTTAGGAACAATAAATCCAGAATAAAGCAAAAACGGAAGTCACGTGGTCTATTCCTCATATGGAAGCGAAAGCAACCGGTAAAACCTTCAAAATAAAGGTAGCCCATGTACCGTGTAGTTAAAGAGGTGATTTTAGACTAAAACTAAACTAAATCTGGGGGTGGAAAAAAAACACTGTAATTGACTGAAATAAAAAAAAAAAAAAAAAAAAAAACTCTGGCTGTTAGGGAGAATTAAACATTTGTAAGACCATTGTCGCCAACAGGCAATAAGGGTTTGACCTTTTGACTTGTGTTTATATCAAAGAGAAGGCTGGCACTGCTACCAAAAGAAGCTAATCACTGAGTTTGCAGGGTGTGCAGAACTTCACCTGCCTCCCAGCTTCTCTTTCTGTGGTGCTATAGCTGCTAAAAACTCTCAGCTTCCACCATCTACTGTTATGTGTCAAAACAAAACTCTTCCAAAACAAATCTGTGGAGTTGTAAACTTTTTATTTTCCTTTGCATTTTTCTCCAGTGTAATATACTTATTATATTAGTTAAGTAGAGTAAATATTTTTAATGCAGCCTGTAGTTCTCATTAGTTATGTAGGCATACTTATGTGTGAAACCTGGTGAGCATTACTGAGAGTCAAAAAGCATCTCCTCTAGCTTCAAGTCTTTTACTGCCTTTCTTGGGTTTAATTCTGTTTAATGAGCCATCAGGGAAAGCTATGCACTGTTCAAACCTGTGTAAAGTAACATAAAAGTCAAATTGAGTCCCAAGACTGGTGATGTGAGCCTGTACAGGGTTTGAGGACTGATGATAGTATCAAGGCTGGTTCCATCACCTACCATCACTCTCTGTTCAAATAAATGCTGGACTGGCAGGACAAAGCAGAACACCACTCCTGTCTCCAGCACCAGAAAAGGGCCCTGTTGTCACTTTCAGATATTTACATCATGATTTATGGTAACCAACAACACCTTGTAATTGTGGCTCTGCTTTTGTGCATAAGGGAATTGAAATACATGGGTGACCTGTACTAGACACAGCTCCAACCTGTCGACCCTACCCGGGTCACCCACCTTTAGTAGCACTGTCAATGTGGTTCTTTCTTTATACTTGCAGACATGTTGCAACATTAAGACAGTGTGAGGGATGTGTGTGGACGGACTGATGCAATGCTGCCTATTGCTTGTTTTGTGGGACATGTTTGATATGTTAAGAGTAAGAGAACTCAGTCCTGCTCTGAATCTGCCCATTTGTATCAGATGTGAGAAAATGTCATTAGAAGTTGCTGTTGGTATTCTGTGATGTGACAGAGGGAATATCCAGAAGGTTTTTCTTCCGAGGTGTTTGTGAATGAAATGCTTAATGTCCAAATAAAGCTTGGTGTTCATCTGACTGATGACCCCTCAGATTGTTAACTGGCAGTAAAGGCTGCTCGGGAGAAGACTGAAAATGTACTCAGACTTTCTCATGTGTTTAGGGGAGTTTGGCCCCAGTCCCCTTTAGTAAAAAGACAAACAAAAAAACTACCATGTTTGTGTATTGATAGCTAGCTGCTTAATAACACTGATAAAACTAAATATTAACCAATGGTTCGAGTTTGATAACAAGGCTAGCTGTTTAAATTTAAGCTTGTATATCAGTGAATTAGTTAGCCTGTGTGGTTTTCCATTTTCTTGTTGTGATGGCTTTCGGCCTGGTAATGCCACAATCTAGTTTCACCCTCTCAGGTAAGCTCCACCCTGCCTCTCCAGTAGCAGGCACACACCTGGAGACAATTACCTCATTAAGAGTTGATGTTCAGAGAGCACTCAGGATCTCTCTTGATGCATTGTGTTGTAGTGTGGTCAGTGAGCAGGTTAGGATTTTGGATGGTATGCAATCCAATTTTTGTGAACACTTTTTAATTTGTTTTTATTACAGACATTTTAAGCCCCCTTTAAGACCCTGTAGACTGCATGGCCTGTTTTGCTAGAGTTCACCACAGAGATGGCCGTGGAGGTTGATACATTAACTTGCCTTAAACATCTGCTCCTTGAATGAGGTGGATGGGTGGATGATTTACTGCATTAGTTGAGGGTTGAGCCACTGCCGTTTTGCCTGCCTGATCAACTGCTGATTTTTGTGTCCTGATTTTAAATGGGGATTCTTTTTATGAGACGCTGTTTCAGGGGGATGGGCCGTGTGTGTGTGTGTGTGTGTGTGTGTGTGTGTGTGTGGTGTGTGTGTGTGTGTGTGTGTGTGTGTGTGTGTGTGTGTGTGTGTGTGTGTGTGTGTGTGTGTGTGTGTGTGTGTGTGTGTGTGTGTGTGTGTGTGTGTGTGTGTGTGTGTGTGTGTGTGTGCGCCTTTAACTGAGCCTTATTGTGTGGTGTTTTATATATGTGACTTGCTGTCTTTAGGTGGTGGAGCACACCTGTGGGTGGTGGTGGTGTCAGGACATTCTGGTGGCAATTGTGCTTTTGTAACAGTTTGCTTTTATCCTTTAGCATCTCTGCAGCATTGGCATTAACATCTTGTTGATTTACTGTTTGAGCTTATGTAGTTATAAAACTGCCCAAAACCTGAAGTAGCACAGAATTAACTTATAAAAATGTATTATACATATTTATAATATGCTCTTAATTACGATCATTTAATTGCTGGTGATTTTAATATTCACGTTTGTTGTGTTTCTAAGCCTTTGGTCAAGGACTTTTTAAACATTTTAGATTCTTTTAACCTTACTCAGTCTGTAAACTGCCTGATCCATAACAAGGGACATTTTTTGGACATGGTCTTGTCCCAAATGTCCCAAAGGACATTTCTGATGCAGGTATTTCTGACCACATGCCTGTCCTGTTTTCTGTTTCTTTGCCGTGCCCTCAAAGCAAAGTGTGCGTCCCCATGCGTCAACGGCGCGCAATTAATCCATCTACGGCTTCCTTTTTTGCTGCAGCGTTCGACACCTCTCCTTTAATGTCACTGGATGCCTCCTTTTCAAATTTGGACATTGATGAGCTGGTTACTTTATTTGACTCCACGTGCACAGAAATCCTTGACTCAATAGCACCATTTATGCACAGGAGCTCTAACTCAAATGGAGTGCCATGGCACAATGACCCTACTCGTGCTCTCAAAAGGGAACGTCGCCGTGCTGAGAGAAAATGGGGGGGAAAAAAGACAAACTTCATGTGTCTCTGGGGATTTTAAGAGACTGTTCATCTAACTACCAGGACGCTGTGAAAGCTGCAAAGACTCAAACCTTGTGCAAAACAACTGTCACAAAGCTCATGTCCTTTTTAATGTTTTAAATAGGATAATCAACCCCCCTGAACATACTGGCATTATTCCTAGTGCCCTTCTGTGTGACAGATTTGGTAAATTCTTCACTGATAAGGTGTCCAGTATCTGGGCCTTAACCCTTTGTGTTGCGCCAGATCCCAGTATTATACCTTTTTATGTTCAGCTGTTTTTGAAGATTTTATGCCAATACCTTTCTGACTTGTCAAAGACGGTCCAAAGTTAAAGACCCTCGGTCTGCTCATTAGACAGCCTTCCAGCCAAGCTTTTTAAAGATGTTTTTGACTCTGTTGGGCCTTGTATTTTAAACTTGATAAACTTTCAACTGGGTGTGTTCCGGCTGCTTTTAAAAAGGCCATTGTACAGTTCCTCCTGAAAAAGCACAATTTGGACCCCCTCTGCTTTGTCAAACTACAGGCAATGACAAAGGTTTGTCACTACAATTTTAGGCCCAGTCTTGTTCTCGCTGTACTATATATGCTGCCCCTTGGATCAATCTTCCAAAAATACATTTCCTTTCACTGCTTTGCAGATGACATCCAAATTTACCTACCTTTAAATACTAAAACAAACTCAGTTGAAGTGCTGAGAAAATGTCTACATGAAGTAAAAGACTAGATGTCACTGAACTTTTTTAAACTTAAATGACAAAAAAACTGAAGTTGTAACTTTTGGGGAGCCCGATGTCTCTGGTGACAACAGTGCTCTTGGCCCAATATCCTCAAACTGCTGCCCATTTGTAAAAAGTCTTGGTGTTTTTATTAACAGTTCTTTCAACAGATTAGCTCAGTGGTAAAAACAAGCTTTTTTCAGCTCAAGTGCACAGAAGAGGGGCAGAGAGACCTCTGCTGGTTGAGCTTCCACAATGCAAGAAGGTCTCCAAATATTTTAAGAAACTAAAATATTAATTAAATAATATAAACTTAAATAGGCTAACTGCTATCCTAAGCTAAATATAACATTAGTTCAATTGTCTTAATCTGAAGTTACAGGTCACCAATGGTTTTAAAAATGTTTAATTCTCTATAACAGCCAGAGCTATTATTTTATTATTTAAATTTTTTTCAGTTAACTAAAGTGTTTTTTTCACACCCAGT